AGCTTGTTCTGAGGCGCAACTCAGAACAGGGGGAAAGGAAAGCAAGGAAAGCAAGGAGTCTGTGCAGCAACAAAAATGAGGAATTAAGACCAAAGCGTTGCAGTTTTATTTTAAATGGACCATAAGTGAATGATTTAAACGTGAAAAAGGATTTAAAAGCATGATATGATACCTTTAAAAACACAATGTATACATATTGTAATTTTAAAAAATTATGTTTAGAGCACCAGCTCTCCTGAATGTTGTCACAGTGCTTCTCTGTGTAAACAAACTGCAGCTGAACAGCTTCCAAAATCAGAAAATCTAACAAAAACTATGTCAGTTATTTCAGAGCCTCAGTTTCCTTCGACTGTAAACGAGCTGCACGTGGAGCTCAGAAAGCCTGACTGAACAGCCATACAGCTCAAAATCCTAAACTAGAAGCGGAAATTTTACTTTGATAATATGAGAATAACTTTTTTGGCACAAATCTTACATTTATAATTGTGGAGTTATGCTCAGTTCAGTAAAAAAAAWTTACATTTCTGATCACAACAAACGCCAGTGCTTTTCCTAGTTTTATATAATTAGTAGGCTAATCATTATTCATTCACAGTGGTGGGCACAGTTCCTCTAAAGCACTAATAGGGGAACTAATTTCCTGATTAGTGCTTTAGGGCTTTTGCTAAATTTAAAATTTATTAGTGGATTAGCACTTGCTAAATTTATAGGCTAAATTTAGAAGCACTTAGGTCTATAAATGTTWTTGATCAACATTAATGTTAGCAGCTGAGGGTACAAGCTGTCACACATTTTGTTCATATGTGTGTCACTGATCCACTAGGTGACAATATATGAACCCAAATAAGGCTGTGGAATGWCAATGATAAGGGAGCAACATGGCATTACTCATAATAATAATAATAACTTGTTGTCTGTTGGAGAATGCTCATGGGTTGACGGAGTTATTTTAGTGCTTTAGAATTAGCTTTTGCTAAAACTTTCAGTGCGTTAGTGCTTTAGAATTAGGGGACCTAAATATCTGAGTTAGTGTTTTAGGGCTAGTGGAACTAATTTTTAAGAATAGTGATGYCCACCACTGTTCATTCATATGAAACAATTCCAATCTTTCTGCTTGAATCTTTCCTTTCCTTCACACAAGCCTCTCAGTGAACAGCTCATGGATCGTGTGCCATTTTCGCGTGACACGTTTCCCGTGACTTCAAACATGTTAGAAGCTAAGAGGTTTGTTGTTGTTTAAAGCGACTTTGAGATAAAGCGTCCCGCGTGCGCTCCGACCCTACGGAGAGCAGCCTGTGCTGCGCGTGCACTGCAGCTTTCTGTCACTGGATATCATCTGATGCAGGACGAGATAAACTTTGACCTCGTTGGTCTTTTCAGTAATGGCGCAGTTAAAACAGAAAAACAAAAAAGGCTATCACCACCGTACACAATCCAAACTTTAAAACAATTACAATCAGATTTAAAGTCCTTTACCTGGCTGTTCTCCATCTGCCATTGCTTCCAGAGTCCTACTGTGCTGAGAGCCGCCAGAACCCCGAGCATCAGCAGCGCCACCACCGCCACGGCTACCCGCCGTCGGGTCGCCCGTCTCCGGGCGTACTGAGCGAGGCTGGCCTGCAGGTGGACACCCGCCTCGGCTCCTCCTTTGCACCCACAGCGGCAGCCTTCTTCTTCCATGCTACTGACTTCCCAGTCGTCGACCAGCTGCGGATCCCTGCTCCGCTTCTCCATTTATTTACGCGCAGTCGCCCACGTTGAGAGCAGCGCGGCACCGAGTCTCGGTTCAGAAGTTTCACCCAGACTCAGGAATTACGGCCGAACTTCCTCTTCCTCAAGGGTTAAGAGTGTCTGGACCGAGCAGAAAGTATTTAGGGCAGATCCCTCAGCAGCACACACCCAAATTATAAAAATAATAATTAATCAAAACATTATATAAACAAACGCTTAAAATGCTGAAGTGGTTCAAACATGAAAGACAAATCATCCCTGAAGGAATCTCGTCTGGTGATAGCTCTACCTTTAGCAGTTTTCGTCAAAACTCGCAAATAAAGTTATGCACAATTTTAAGTTATTGGAGCTGCCACACTCTGTGTTGTGTGATTACTCTCAGCTACCACCATGTCATATTTTAGCTCAATATGTGTAAATAACTGAATATAGACATTTTTTTGTTTTGGCTAATATGAATTAGCTGTCATCAATCATCTTCTAACAGGCTCCAAAATGACATTCTGAAAGTGTCATTCTGCATGATATTTTGCTAACACAAACAGGGTTGACTCCAACAAGTAATGTTAAAGTTTTAGGTAAAGATCTTGATCTTGCATATTGAATAACACTTTTAAGTTGATGTTGGGGATTCTTAAATTTGGACATCCAGTGTGTGTTCATGTGAACCCTTAGCATATACAAAAACCATTAAAATTGTACAAAGCTGAAATCAGGGATATTTTATGTTTTAGGGATATTTTAGGTTTATCTTAAATAATTGAATAAGTTCTATTACATTAATTAGATGGAGTGACACTCAAAATAGTATGAATTGATGGCCTTCATTATTTTGTCAATTATGCCAAGATAAACAGCATGATGTTGAATACTCACATCTAATGAAAAGCATTAGATCTTTAAGTTATAAAACGACATGAGTCTTATGGACTCTTTATGGCAGGGGTGGACAATCCTGGTCCTTGAGGACTGCAGCCCTGCATGTTTTACTTTTTTCCCCTGCTCAAACACACCGAACTCAGTCATTGAATTACCTTTTCCAAATTCTGCTTAAACCTGTTTAATCACCCATTCATTCAAATCAGGTGTGTTGGAGCAGAGAAACAATTACCATGCAGGACTGTGTCCCTCGATGCCCACTCCTGCTTTATGGTATAATTGTGCACATTTGTAGTTCAGCTCAGGCCATGCTTTTGAGTCATAGTTAGTCGTTTCTGCCAGGAGTTTATGTGGCCTTTATATCTTTATGACATTCTTGCCTATATTTGACAGACTATTGATCCTGACTGCAAACGGGGCTCGTACCTGCAACCTCAGGACTATAAGACTGCTGCACTGACCACCGAGCTACTGCAGCCTAAAAGTATTGCATATATCCATCCATTATCTTTACCTGCTTCTTCCTTTCAGGGTCACTGGTGCCCATATCCAACAGTCACAGTGTGAGGGGTGGGGTACACCCTGGGGCCACATAGACAAACAACCATTCACTTTCTCACACCTAGGGACAACTTAAAGGTAGCAATCAGCCAAACATTTAAGTTTCTGGTTTGTGGGAGGAAACTGAGTACCCAGAGATAGCCCACACATGCACTGATAGAACATGCAAACTTTACCCAGAAAGGTCCCTGGGCCGGGATTTGATTGGACAACCTTCTCACAGGGAGACAACAGCTCTACCAACTGAGCCCCCGTGCTGCAGTGCATCCGTCCATCTGTTTTCTGCTGCTATCCGGGGTCRAGTCACGGGGGCAGCAGCTTAAGCAGAGAGACCCAGACTTCCCTCTCCCCAGCCATTTGGACCAGCTCATCCGAGGGAATCCCAAGGTATTCCCAGGCCAGCTGAAAAACATAGTCCCTCCAATGTGTCCTGGGTCTTCCTCTGGGTCTCCTCCCAGTGGGACATGCCTGGAGMATCTCACCAGGGAGGCGTCCAGGAGGCATCCTAACCAGATGCCCGAGCCACCTCAAGTGGCTCCTCTCAATGTGGAGGAGCAGCAGCTCTACTCTGAGTAAGTAAATATGCAACCTATTCTAAAGAAGACATTTGACAGATTATTTTATTTAAATTTCACCTGTTATTTTTTATTAACATTTACTTATTGTTTTATCTGACATGAACAGACATACTTTGATCATGTACAGTTGCACCTGTTTTAATGTAGAGATTTTATGGTTTATTTTTATTACAATGTTTAATGTTGTCAGTACTGGCCAGATTAAATTCAAAACTACTTTTTTTCCTTCTCAAAATGTTACAACTTCTTAGTTTAAACATTTGATTTGTTTACTGTGTAAATAAATTATGGGTTTATGAGATTTGTAAATCAAAGCATTCTGCTTTTAACACAGAGTGGCAACCTTTTCAGAAATGTAATTGTAGATTGAGTTGTGTTCGTGACAGGCAGCTGTTACAAAGCACCTAAAAGTCCAGTTTAAACATTTTCTTTTGTTTTACCAAGTACAGTGTGTTTGTTACATCTGTGTACATTGGTTTATCCTTAAAGAGAGGAGAGTTGATCAGAGTTTAAACAACTGTTACTGTAAAAATAAAATATTTACAACTAACTGTACTCCACACTATTTAAAGACTGTCTGGCTCCTTGGACACGAACAGTAAACTTTAAATTGACAGCAACAGATTTATTAAAATTRATTTCTTGATGCAATGGTTCAGTCGAGTACCAGACAGGTGGTTCAGATAAAACAATAGAAACTGTATTGTGTAACAATGACACAAACCCTTAATCCAAAATCAAAAACCATAGCCACCCAAATCTTTCAACTAAATCTTGACAGTAAAGATTGTTTTATCCTCTCACCCATCATTTTTACATTTCCAAGTTTAAAGGAAAACCTCTTTAAGTTTTGTTTCTATTAGTTGCTTTAAAGAAGTCTGGCTTCCTGGAAAATAAAAAAATGCTTTAATAGTATTTAAAGGCTGGGCTGCTGCCTTTCATGCCAGAGACAACAACCATGTTGGGATGGGAAATGAGAAAATTATAGCAACTTCTGTCAAAACTTGAAAATAATATTGTGCACAATACTTGTGCACGTGTTGGTGACCCTCAGCCAGGACCATACCAAAGTTAAAGCCATGTTTGTGTTGATTCTTAAAGTCAATCAGACGTTAGATCCAATGTTTACTTTGAAAGATTTATTTAAACCGGTCCAATGGTTCATAAGATATTTCGCTAACAGACTGATATAAAAACCCATTCACACATGTAGACACAGGTGAATGAACCCAAACCACCGCTATCAACTGTTTTGGTTTGACGCCATCGTCAGAATGTGCTGAATGAGGCAGAGTGAAATGAAAAAGAGGAAGGACTGTGGTTAATATGACAACAATAAAGACAACGTTCAGCTCTGAGCAGAGCATAGAATACAATGAAAACAAGTGTAAAATCTATAAAGTACTCAGAGTGAGACACAACCAAAACAGTTAAACCCATTTTATTTAAGAGCTGACTTTTGATTTCGGAGCATTATTTACATTGTCTTCAAWGTTTTTGAAGTCTGGGTGCTTTTGAGTCCTGCAGCTGTGTTTATGGCCAAGTCCTTTTAGAATAAGAAATGAAAACAACAATAGAAAAAGCAGCGGGGCGATGGCATCACCCCACTGCCAAAGGAGAGTGAAAGTGTTGTAGAGTTACAGTGTACACACAGTATTCTACCTGTACAATAATAGTGCTACTATTCACATTCATCTGTACATTAAGGATAATATTTACAGTCATCACATTAGGGAGCGTGCCAGTACCTGAGGAGTTACTTCCATAATTATCTTTACTCAATAACTGTAGTAAAAAGAAGCACGCACAGCTGAAACACAGGGTTAGGTGTTAAGTGCACAGAAGTTCCTTTACGACAGCATGAACACTAGAATACTGTTTCAGGCATCAAAGGCTCTTATCAGCTCAGTCACACACCCTTTGTTAAACTTTAATGATTTTCAGATTGATTGAACTTTTGCTGAGGTAGGCAGCAAAGAGCAGGTTGGATTAGGATGTGACATGGGCCAACAGTGTGTCACTTCCCTGCAGTAGTGCCTGATGGTGATCACTGTTTCTTTAAAAAAACAAACAAACAACAAAGAATAAACCACTCCTCTGACACACTTTAACGAAGGACAGGAAGTTAGAAACAAAAGGTGAGGTCATTAATGCTCTGTCAGCAGTCTTCCACTCGGACTCAGTCCAAAACGCACCAACTGTACATAGAAACACGGGCCCGGATCAAAACAGCTCAAAACTCCAGAAATAAACAAGTGCAGCATTTCTCCCAGGAACAAACRCTCAACCAATAAATAAACAGAGTAAAAACTCATTAAATAACAATCATTGTCTCATTGTTTAGGATCACTACACCAGTGACCCAAAATAACTTAAATGGTCCTTTTTTTTAAAAAATACATGAAATGCTTTTCTCCCATTAAATCCTCCGACTGGTTCTGGATCTGCACTCACTGGCCTCTTTATCAGGCCCACTTTCCTAGTGGGCCTTTCCTTGGACCCCCACTTTCTGGCACAGATTCAATGAGTTGTTGGAAATATTTCCCAGATATTTTGCTCCAAGCTGACATGACAGCATCACTCAGGTGCTTCAGGTTTGTCAGCTGAACATCCATGATGTGGATCTCCTGTTCCACCAAGTCCCAAAGCTGCTGCACTGGACTGAGACCTGGAGACTGTGGAGGCCACTGGAATCCAGACAAGGCTTTATTGTCCCGTTTTGGTGATTGTGTGGAAACTGTAGCTTCAGGGTGACAGCAGGGTGATCTTTTGCTGATGCAGACCATCTGCTCCATGTTGTGTTCAGACATGGTTTCCTGCAGACCTCGGCTGGATMGAGTGGTTATTTGAGCTACTGTTGCCTTTCTGTCGTTTCCAACCAGTCTGCTCATTCTCCTTTGCCCTCTGACATCATCGAGGAGTTTTCATCCTCACATCTCATGCTCATGAAATGTTTTCCTCTCTTTTTGGGACTGCTCTCAGTAAATCCTAGAGATGCATGAAAATCACATATCAGCAGTTTCTGGAATACTCAGACCAACAACCACACCACCTTCACTTAGATCCACGCTCTGATGCTCACTTTGAACTTTCAAGTGGTCTTCACTACGTCTCCATGCCTAAATGCTACCGTGTGGTTAATTATTGGATAATTGTATTAAAGAGCAACTAAAGAGGTGAACCTAATAAATTGGCCGGTGAGTGGATGCTTGTACCAAACTGAAATAACACAATGGCGCCCTCTACAGGCTCTGGTCTGACTTACTGAATATTCTTTGGATCCCTTTTTCACTCATTTCACAAATTAAACTCTACGAAAAAGTGAAAACATTTCTGGAGGAAACTCTACGTCTCTCTTGCATATCTTTGATCACATTTCTGATTTCTGTCACTTTGCTGAGTGTGAGTGAGGGAAACAAGCAGTCATAGATCAGCAGCTTTCTGTTGCCTGTAAGTCCACGTGATCCAGGTCTAAGCCTTGTAGCAGTTCCCCTGAGTGGTGAGAGCGAGCTGTCCGTTGGGGGCCACCTCGTTGGCCTCGTCTTCCAGGAGCCCCGACACATCGGCGTTGGGAATGCTATCGTGGTAGCTGCTGAAGCTGATGTTGTCCTCCTTCAGTTCGATGGTCCAGAAGGGGGCATTGAGCTTGCGGTTCTGATACTCCCGATACATGTACACCCCCCCAACAAAGCCAAGCAGTAGCAGGACCACCAGAATGATGACAGCGAGGATGATGATGTTGAACTGGGTCCACGAGACCTCGGTCAGGGCTGCTGTGGTGTTGTCGGTGGGGCTGCTCAGGCTGGTCAGCAGGGCCTGGGTGGTGGTGCTGCTTGGCGTCGTGCTGGTGTTGGTGCTAGCCTTGGAGGCTGGGACGTGTCTGGTTGTAGCAGAGGTCATCGTGGTGCTGGTGTAAGAGGAGGTGGGGGCCGCAGGTGTAGTTGGATCAGCTGGTGCTGGAATGAGCCGAGGTGCTAAAGAAAGAAAAACATCAATCAGTGTTTCCCAACATATTATGAACCCTGGCAAAGATCCTTTTCTCAGTGGTGTCAATTGGAGCCAAATCTGCAGACGCATGTTGTGGCTCCAGAGCAGTGTTGCCAACTCCTGAGCAAGAAAAGTCCCTACTGGCTGTCCAAAAAGTCTCTAGAAGTCACTAGATGATGTCATCACTTAATTTGCATATTTGAATGTTTGCCAATAACTGTTATCTGAGCTATAGGAGAGATGATGAAGAGAAAAAAGTGAATAAAAACACTGAATATGTTTAGAACTGCAGTTAAACTTAATGAAATAAAAATAATTTTATGACTTCAATGCTTAGATCCATATAAATTAAATTTGTTGGAATCTTAAATTTAATCTGCAGACAGTTCGATGTCACGAAACACAGGGAGGAAGAGGTGAAGTGACTGATCTGTGAGTCAAACACAGCTGGGTCCAGAGATTTAGTTTACAGAGACATTACCAGAGAAAAACTACAATAAATATTACATCCCGCTTTGTAAACCACGTAGAAGCAGTGACAGCTTTGCACATGCATGATTCATTTGCAACAGTCTCTCCTCTCAGCTGACTTCAGCCGAGGCTGGGGGTAGGGTTGGGGGTGCTGCAAGAGGCTTCAGTGAGTCGGACGGCTTTAGGAAGGGGGAGGGGCTCACCTCCGCGCTCACTGCTTGCGGAGGAACAGAGGAGGAAAGGAAAAAAGTGCTTGGAAAATGCTGTCGACAAAGCTCCTAAAAGTCTCTAAAAACACTGGGGCTAGATTTGTCTAGTGACTTTTTTTCCCAAAAAGTCGCTGAAGGGGTCTAAAAAGTCGCTAGATCTAGTGACAAAGTCGCTAAATTGGCAACACTGCTGAGTCCAGAGGTGTCAAGTAACTAAGTACAAATACTTTGTYACTTTACTTAAGTAGAAATTTTGGTTTTTTATACTTAAGTGGAGTAATTATTTTTCAGCGTACTTTTTACTTCTACTTCTTACATTTTAATTCATCTGTACTTTCTACTCCTTACTTTTAAAAATGCAAAAAGTATTTCATTTCTATTTAACTTTGACTTGTTTTTATTCCATCTTTTCATTGTTCAGAAAAAAAAAATAAATACATATTAATCCAGAAACATGAAGCCCATGGATAGAGTGAGTTTGATGGTGGTTTAATGAGAAGAGTAAGTATAAACCATCCTGATATCCTATTGGACTGAACTCACTCCATCACACCTGTATGACACAAATCACAGCAGGACATACTGTAGCAGACGGAGCCTAGAATGAAGACTATCGTGGCTGAAACAAGTAGTCACATTATTTATTACACTATTTTTGTCCATTTTAAGTACACTAATCTTATTATTTTGCAAAAACAAAGGAAAAAATGTTCTTAGTTGTCATTTTTTTGTGTAATTAATTCAAAATATTTTCAGGACCCGACCCCAACTTTGGGAACCACTGCACTATAGAACCCTGTGGCACAGCCTAAGCTTTTATCCTTAGTGTTTTTTTTTGTAAGTGTTTATTACTTTTACTTGAGTATAAAGCTTGAGTTGATACTTCTACTTCCAATAAAGTATTTTTAAACCCTAGTCTCTATACTTCTACTTAAGTAATGAATGTGAATACTTCTGACAACTGCTTGTGACCATACCATAACATTATTTCTTTATTTTTAGCTGTTTCACAATGTTTTTACAATAAATTGCCACAAAAGTCTGCAGACTTGTTTAATTCTTGACTACACCCTTATTTCAGAAAATCCACCTCAATTTAGCGTCACAGCACAAACTGGTCTGGGTGTGTGGCTGATAGAACTGGGTCGTTCACTTCTAACCTCCTGGCAATATAGAGTGAGAGAGATGTAGGTAAATGCCGGTCACCCACCCCACGGGTTTCTCCTGAGTGAACATGCTGAGTTTCTTTTCTCCATTATAGACATCTGAGGGAGTCTGATGTGACACAGTGAACTGAGTTTTAGCCCACAGGCAGGGCTTCAACCTGCCTGTGACTTTAAATCTAAGACTGAGGCACTGAGGGTCGGCTGGGTGTAACACGGCATAGAGCGCCATCACCTGGAACTGTGTGTACGACCATCTGTGCTGAGTTTACAGACAAAGAAGTAGAATCCAACAAAGCTGATGGAGAAAGTCAGAGATAAGATACTGTGGGACTAGCAGATCCAGACAGACAAACAGGTGATGGCTAACTGACCGGACATCGTAGTGGTCAACAGGCTACAGAAGGAGGAAGTGACGACAGAGGTAACAAACCAGTGATTGTTACAACAAAAAGAATGAGCAGGAAAAGCTGGAGAAATACCAAGAAAAGCTGTGGAGAATCAAAGCATCAGTGGTCACAGTGGCTTCAACAGATCCCAGGAACAACCTCAGAGAGTTAAGAACAGCTAAGTTCCTGAACAGAACCCTGAAACTCCCAGAACTCTGATCGAGGACCTGAGTTTCAAATGGAGCCTCGAAGTGGAAGACAAACAAAAACTAAAATAAAAAACTGGGTTGCTAGTTCCTGGCTCCTTTTAAGTGTTTTAATTTTTCAAACTTTATTTTCTTAGTTTAAGTCGACACTTTATTCCTCATTAGTCTTTTTGGTTTTAATAAATGTGTGGCTGAGACTCTTCCTGTCAGCACGTAGCTGCAGAAGCTGCTTCACAACACCACATGAGGGATGTTCCTTTGGACCTTCTAATTTAGTGAGACCTCCTTACTCCCCTAACATCAGAGCTTCATTCAAATCTGTCCAGTGCTTCAGGAGATATTTCGCTAACAGAAAGATTTAACTTAGGACTTAATAGCTAATATAGTTTTAGGAAGAGTTTTCAACAGATTTTGTATGAGTTAGAGAAATGTGATGGGTCTTTCTTTCAGCTACATCAAACCTCAGGCAAATATCTGTGGAACTGGCTGAGTTAGAGCGATTTCTGTGTTTTTTAAGTCTTTTAGCTGAAGCGTAAAGTTCATCATCATCAGTCTTACCTAGACGGGTGCAGTTGTGTGCTCGAGCATCCCCGATGAATCCAGGAGCACAGAACTGGCACTGGGGCCCGAAGGTGCTGTTGATGCAGCTGAAGCAGTGACCAGTGTCAGGGTGACAGAGCTGGGCCGGTCCATGAGGGTCCGCGTTCCCACTGCAGTCACATGGCACACAAGCTCCTGATGCTTTGTAGAAGCCAGTGCTGCACTCATCACAGAGCCGACCACTGAAGGGAAGAAGGCACCGCTCACACACCAGAGAGCCACTGGAGTCTGAAGGAAAAAACAGATCTGCATRTCAGCTCATAACAATATATCTAGATGAAATGTATCACATCTTTGCTGGACTACTGTCATTTTTTATGATCAGGATGCCAAAAAAACTCTTTAAGACGTCTTCAGTTGGTCCAAAATGCTGCTGCTAGAGTTCTAATGAGAAATGGAAGAAGATATTATATTTTTCCAGTTTTAGCTTCTCTCCACTGGCTCCGTCAAATTCAGATTAAAATTTAAAATCTTACTTCTAACACAGGGGTTCTTAAACTTTTTGACCTCAGGGCCCAATTTATTGAACATAAAGTGGCACGAGGCCCAGTCAGATACCAATACCAATGCCAGTCCATACCAATGTATGGATCAAAATGATAATTATTCTAAATCTTGGTTTAATGTATTGTATTTATATTATAACTAAATTAAATACACTTACATTTTAAAAGTAAAACTCCTGTCAAGTAATCACAAGACGTTATTATGACAAACAATTTTTTATATTGTAACCTGCCCATGACAATTATTTGAACAAATACAACAGTCAGTCAACAGACCACTCACCACTCAGGCTTATCAACACACACACACACACACACACATATATATACACATGAATATACACACACACACACACACACACACACACACACA